ATGGCTCCTGCGGTTCTGCTGCTGCTACTGCTCTCCTCGCTCGTCGTCTTCTCAGCATGTGCGCGCTTGGGGCTCCTCCTCCTCCTACTCCGGCGGCCCGTTCCTCCCTCTCCCGAACACGGCGCGGGGCTGCAGCTTAAACAGATAATGCGTATCTCAACTTAGTCTCCACTAGATTCTTCGGGCCCGACGCGCCATTTGTTCCTCCTCCCCTCCCACCACCGCCACCTCCCACCCCGCGTATTCAACACCAAGGCCTCGACCAACCCGGCACTCGGCCATTCCGATGGCTATTACCCTGCGACAATGTGCACGTCACGGCCTTTTCCGATTATTATTTTATAAATCCCACTCAAATATGTGTGCAAGCAAATTCTCCAATAGTCTATTCTATCTATTTAATACGAAAGAAAGAATTGTTTAGATTTTTAAATTAAATGTACTTTCAAAGAATATTGAAATTTTGCAAAACTTTATCTACGGTACAAAATATGAAATTTTGCAAAAGTTTCTCTACAGTACAAAATAGAAAAAATAAAATTTTCATCTAACAATAGAAATCTTGTATTTATACAAATTAATAAATTACTTATTTTGTAAAGATTATTCATCTTCATTAATGTTGTGAACGTTAGAAGCTTATATATTGGAAAATACATTGTAAGCTTTTATAATTTAATCATTAATAATTGAATACCATGATTTGGAGATTACATAATAATTAGCAAAATTCAATAGATACAAAATTTTCCAAATACTCCATATAATATTACATCTTATATAATAGCACAATTTTTTTGAATACTTTTGAAATTGAAAATAAAATTTCTCCTGAAATAGATTAAACATTTTAATTTAACAAATTACCATTGAAGAAATTAATTATTATATTTCTGTAATTAATATACATTAATAAAATAAAATACATAATCTATTGCTGCAGTAAGAAAAATGTTGAATAAAATATAAAGGAATTTGTAAGATTGAAGAGATATAGAACCTATTCGTATATTAATTAATAACTTCAATTGTTTACTGAAATATTAATACATAAATTTTGAACAAAATTATAGAACAATATTATTATATATCTAATTATTATATTATCATACAACCTACGTCATTCGATTTTATGATTGAAATGCTTTATTCTTTATAGGTAAACTGTAAAATGGACCTCTATCAGATTTATGTATTTCCTATCAATGACTAATGCACTCTGTGTGTGCGTGATACTCTTACCAGTACGCATGCCTGAATATATATATACATATAAGTTTATTATTACACAAAATTGGGTAAATTCAGTCATAATGTGTTCATTTTGTATATCAACTTATAGGCATATGTAAATTATATAATTACATAAAACTATATGAATAACACATTTAATATTAACATTGAATACCAGAGACATATACAATTTTATTCCTATAGATAATCATGTTGGAATCAATATAATAATAATATAAAATGTTTACGTTAATTAAATTATATAAAATTTACGTAAATTATTAAAGAACAATGATGTGCACATTTATAATAATACATCGTATTAAGCTTAATCATATTGTCATATTATATATTATAATCAGATAATATTGAATTATTACATATTATATATGGAAACTTATACACGATGAGAATTTTGCATGGTCGATATTAATTTACAAGATATATAGAAAAAATTCTTTGATGTAATTGTCAAACAGTTATTAAGATTTAATAGTACGATTGACTTTACTAATGAATTCTTTGCAAATTGGAAAATAAGCTTCATTTCATCTTAACACGGCCTTTCTACGGTTCTAAGTCGACTGTAAATAACAAAGAATTGTTATGATTAATAAATAATCATTAATATAATAAAAAAATTATTTAATTAATATTAAGCATAATATGAACTTTTATATATTGATAAAAGTAATTTTTGAAACGAGGACAGTCATTTCTTATTTTACAAAAATATGAGTTTTCTATATATGACAAAATTTATTACATACTAAAAGCAATAAGTGAATAATTTTATTATATAAAAATATACATTTTCAATGTTTTTAACAATTTTTTTAAATTTCACATTTTGCGTATGTTAAATAAATTTTCTCTCAATTATATCATTTACTCTGCCTCTTTAATATACATTGTCTATTTGGTTTATCCACTCATTTAATATTATCTTTCTTACAAGTATTATTTCTTACAAGTTCAAAATATTTTAGATTTTACACTTACCCTACATGATTAACATTCTACATTATATTATTATTTTATTAATATGGATATACCTGCTTACTTTTTTAATTGGTTAGTAGTTTATATATATACACTTAAGGAAATTAAATATTTCAATATTTAAGATAGGTGTGTTATTAGTTTCTGATTTTCAATTTCTTTATTTTTTTTACTTTTGTTTTAAAACTGTCTAGTGTTTTTAATTTTTTGATTGACTATGTAATAATATTTTTATTATTTGTTTACTTGCAGTCAACCTGAAATGCTACTCTTTAACAATATTTTGTTACATAAAATTATTCCTATTCAATGTTTGATAAATTGTATGTTTTAAATTTCTTTAACCATATTTTTTTATTTAACAATAGTTTAAAATTTAAAACAGCCCCAATTTGCCCTTATGTTGTAAACATAAAAATAAAAATTATTTATTATAATGTTTATTTTTATTTATTACGATTGCATTAAGGTAATGTTTTATATTTATTTTATATATTATCTACTGTATTATTCTACATTCTAACCTTCATTACTTCGAATTTTAATACCGATTTAAAGATATCTATATATATATATATATATATATATATATATATATATATATATTTTGTTTAATTAAATTTACTTAAAAATAATACTTTTAACCCAAATAATTAAAAGAGTATATAAGAATTTCAGAAGCCACATATTTAATTAAATATTTAACGTGATGGATTCAATAAAATTACTAGATCACAATTCCACAATATTGTGTATTTTATAATATTAAAATTTATTTAGAAATTTCTATGTTTAGCTGTAAATGTAGAATCAAACGATTTTCACATTAGAAGTTAGATCTTTTATACCCATACTACTACACATCATTATAATCTATTTCGAGATAATTAATATGTAGAATACTGAATTGTAATTAATTTCGGTGATTACATTTGTTGAAAATATAATTTGAATTACAGACTGCTTACAATATTTGAATAACATAATTGAATCATTCATTATTAATGAGGCAAATATAAAATAAGGAAGAAATGATAATTATTAAGGCTAGATAAGACTGATTAAATTATGTTTAGAAAATATTATAGATTATTAGTTGAAGTATACTGAAATTTATAATCAATAGGTCTATAAGAGGAGATTGTTGTTATACAAGCAATACAAGTGGACTTAAATATATATTGAGAAATAAAAAATCGCTTAAAATTATCTAATCGCCGATAAAAACAAACAGATAATACATATTTGTCATTATTTTAATTCTTTTTTTTATATAAATTTTTAATCAATTAACAACTAACGGTATATTTGTATTTGAATAATTAATGATAATAATGATTATGGATGAATGGTTTTTTATTCTATAATTTTTTATTCTTTTTGTTTTATATTCTATAGTAAACAATTTTTTTACAAATACTTTATGTTTGGCATTACAAAAAATATTTTCTTCCCCCCTACTGTTATAAGATGTAAGAAAAAAATTTATAATTACATTATGAAATGTACCAATGTGAAATGAAATTTTTGCTTTATTAACAATGCTATATACATATACATATATGTATATGTGTATTTTTTTTCTATTAATTGAATTAAAGCAAATACCCATTCCGTATGAATTTTCAAAGGTAAATTCTACGGGTCTAGTAGAAATTGTACTCCTCAATGATTAGAAATCGAGTTGACAATTTTAACGCCTGTAGAAATAATCGGCTAAAACGTGCGTCAAGTCTATAGTAATCTTCCTTACGCGAGTGACACATTGGGAAATCTTAGAAAAGGACGGACTTATCGACCTCAGTTACGGATAACATGCAGCGGACTAATGTTTTTCTCACATTAATATAATAGTGTAACCTATCTGGATTATTTGTTTTAACATCAAATCAATATGACGTTCTCATCAATACCATTTACAGTTCGAATAATATACATTCTAAGCTATTTGCAATTCAACATGCCACCAGGAAAGAGTGAATCATAAACATTCCTTAGGAACGTGATAAAAGAAATGAATTCCATGTGACCCTGTAATGAATGTTATTGTGCAGATTCGCAATTACAAAGAAATCATCAATTTCATGTATTATTCAGATTGAATTAGCAAGCAAAATTTCTTCTACTGTAATGATGAAAAATAATTTACAAAATTGACAAATTCATCACTGATTAGATAGAAAATTATATAAAATTATGTTTTTTATTGTATACAAATTGTATGATCTTTATTACTTGAAATTGCATTCTTCTATTTATTAGGAAATATTTATTAAATCAGTTTGAAATAAAAATTTATCCCATTGTCTTGATTATTATTTATATCTTTATTACTACTTGCAAGCGATGGTAATTATTATATATTTATTGCACGTTTTATAATAATTGATTTTTTCAAAAATATTGACAACTATAAAATAATTACTTTTTCAATGATTAATTTT